AATAAACAATCTTTGGGAAAATCGGAAAGGCGCAAGATTAGTAAGAACGGAAACATCTTCCTAAGGAACACTTAGTTACAGTTATAAGGAGTTTATCTTACATTGGGTTATTGCCTTATGTTTCGGATTTCTGTGTATATCAGTGCAATTTTGAAACAGAAAGATCAGTATTTTTTATGCATATTCCACTTTAAAGTGCTACATAGACATCTGCACTAATGCGGAATCCTTACAACACAATATGTGTCTAACATATTTAGTTTACAAGCCAGGTAAGTGTGGAAATTATTGTAAACATTTTCACATGTTGTCTTCGAATATGTATTTTATGATTTCACTTCCTCAACAGTCCAACTGTAACATGTATCATAATAAATTTATCATAGAGTTTTTGTTTAGAATATAATAACACTATGCATGTATATAGTGTACAAATGCATCTCAAAATGTATCGATTCTTATTGAAATTAACACTCGTAAAACGCATTCCTTCTGAATAGGTGTCCAAATAAGTGAAGGTATACGTTGGAACCATAGAACAATGCGACACCAACACACCCCCTAGTCCTATCTGTCTGACGTATTTTATTAAAAATGTTCTTAGAGTGTCTATCATACCCATATTCATATAAGTGTCGTATAGGACGTTATCGCCATGTTGAACAAACGAGGGAGGTTTGAATTTTATTATTTTATTTGGACATTTATTGGTCAACATTTTTGCACTTTCACTTTAAAAAAATAAAAAAATTGTGCTATTGATGCCTGTCTGTCTGTCTGTCTGTGTCACAACGGCTCCGGAACTACAGCACTTACACACTTGGTATTGGTGTCATTCGATCAGAAATTATTTCATGTTTGTATTCCCGTTAAGGCATGAATTAATGTCCATAAGGGACAAAAAACAAATTTGAAAGTGCACTCTGCCTCTGGCTCACAAGCGGCTTAACGACTTTACAACACGTTCACGAGTGGAGTGTTGAGATGTTGGTTTATAAATAATAAGCATTAATAGAGTGTGCATGTGCATTTCCATGTTGACGATCACTGTACCTTTCAATGGTTATAATTTGTATATACCTACGCTTTACACAGGTGCATTGGAAATTTGCATTTCCCGTGAATCTGTACAGAAAACTCTAGGTTTCTTTCTTTGCCAAGGGTTTTTTTTAGCTGCGAATCTATACTTTCTAGAAGAACGATAATTTCGTAACGTTAAATTCCGAATCGACCAAGGTAATCTTGGGTTTATACAATCATTAGCATTGCTTGACTATCATCAGATCATTAAGAAATAGGCAATAGAAACAAAGGTTTATTGTATGTTGCTAACCAACGGAACCATACCCTTGTATCTATCAGCGACGGACCTATGGGGGGGGCAAGGGGGGGCAGGCTGCCCCTCCAATACTTAACTAGTTGGTAATTTTGACAAGAGTTGGTAATTTTCATTACCAGTTGGCGAATTCCGCGAAAGTAGGTAAATCGTAAATGTGATAAGTCGACTATTGAAGGAATAAGAAATTTCGGCAAAATCTATAAAAAAGGACTCTTTAATAGGAAAGTCACTTCCTTCTTCTTCTACACAAGGTTGGTATTTTGGTAATGCTTTTAATTAGTATTAGAGATTACGGTATACTGATATCTTACATTCTACATGATTTATTTAGACTGGGAAATACCACTTAATACTTAATAGATACTACCCGTTTGGGTTGGAAATTTTTACATTTGGGTTGGCAAAATGTCATGGCTCCCCCCCCCCCCCGATTTTTTTGTCTAGGTCCGTCCCTGGCATCTATTGGCTATTTCTGAATGATCTAATTATTGTCGACTAATGATAATGATTGTATAAACCCACCATTACTTACATCTATTGTATACTAGAGTACCTATGCTACGAACCTGTCCAAGATTACTATTTTTTTAAGTTTTCAGAAACTATACATAGTTTTGTTATTTAGAAGTGTTTCAAGTAACCCAATTCACGCCGAGATCAGAATTTCTTTCACACCCCCGTAGACTTGACGCATCTTGGGGTAAGGAGATTTGGAGAATGTTTTTTAACAAAACCCGAAAGGGCGTGAAAGTCGCTAATGGGCAAAAGGTCACTGTTCGAATCCGTAGTTCGGGTTGGAATATCTTGGTAAAATGTATAGTGGGTTGGGTTGGTAGAACAGCTCTAACTGAAACATTTCCCCATACTAAAATAAAGAGGCGGTGTTACAGTCTTTTGTGGTTCTTGAGACAAAAATTAAAAGGAATAAGGCGCACCATTTTGAAGAACTTTTGGGGGTATAATCTTTTCAAAACGGATACATTTCTTTTAGTCTCCTCTACCACCACAACTTTTTTTTAACGTGTTGCACCCTGTATATAAATACCAAGAATGTTTAAGATTACCCTAAAATTCAGAAAAATATTATCAAGGTTGGCGGCAAATTAACATAGAACTAAGGTTTATATCTCTGTAACTGATGTACAATCCTGCACTTGAATTTCTCTCAAATCATCTGGTGAAAAACCCCTAAAGCGGATTAAAAAGCGCAGAGCACCTCCGTTTGACCCATTTTCAATAGGCTTGTTACCTACAAATGTGCCATATGTCATAGTCCACTTGCGCAAAGTTGAGCCGAATACATGAAATCAAAAACCGCATTTTGGTATTGTTTCTAAGTCGAGAAATAAATGGCCGAAAATACGCACATTAGACCAATTATGTGAAATTAATTAACCAAAACCGAAGAGATTGTTCTCCTTCCCAACACCCCCTCCCTATTTTATGAGCTAGAGCAAATGTGGTTGCATACAAGATTGCGATGGCATGTTTGTTGGGCACATTTTGGGAAAAAACATTTTCTACTTAAGAGGGGAGGGATCTACTGCTCACTTTTGCGAGACTATTTGGAATGTTCTAAAATACGGTGCCATTTTGTTAATATTAAACTTACGAGAAAGCGATTGGAGGACATGAAGTAGACCACTATACACTAAAATGGGTAAAGGCCTTATTTTCCGATTTATTTTATTTATTACCCAAACAGCTTTGCAAAGTTTGGCGTTTCTTAAGAAATGATACAGAAATCCAAGACAAATACGAAAAAATGAGCATTTACCGCCAGATAAGGTATACATTTCAAAAGCTACAATTTTTTTGATAAATTTTCCCGTTCATGGGTCATCTGGTGTATGAATGGCATCTTATTTTGGAGACCCTTGCCATTTGACAAAAAATCGGTATAATATAGTGGTGTAACACACGACAGACTGTAGAAGTGTTGTATGTAATTAAAGATATTGTAACGGAAACGCTCCAGACGTGACGTCGCCTTTGGCGCTCTGGAATTTTCTAGGCGCGCGATAGTGGGAATGTTCGCGACGTATCTGGTAATTACGCGAGTGTTCTGGACTTACATTGCTTGCGTGTATAAATGGTTGCGGACCGAACATCGCAGGCAGTTTACTACCGAACGAGATCGAGTACGGATGAAACATTGAGCGCGAAAATCTGATATAAATTGCGAAGTGTGTAATATAAATAGTCGATATAAATTG